ATATAATTTAATATTTAATAAACCTTTGATAAATAAATTTATTTAATTAAAAAAATATTTAAATGAATTGAAGAAAAAAATTTAACGAGTGGAAATGAACCCTGACCGCACGCATAGTAAGCTGACGATTCACCAATCAAGCTACGAACTCGTTCCGGAAACGAGTATAAAAGTGAAGTTGTATAAAAAGCGCAAAAACGCGCGATTTCGAGGCTATTTCTCAATTGACTGGTCAGGCATTGATTTTTCCGAATTGACTCTTTCCAATCATGCCCTCTCCTTGTAAGTTGAAAAAATGATAGGAAGTGTATTAGTTTGTTTTGCATCAGAGAGAGGCATTCATAACAAAAGTGTAAGTATTTATTTTTGTTTATTTTTATTTTGTTCGATATTACAACAATAATTTTATTCTTAAAAATATTTAAAAAGGAATATTCATAGAACAAATGCGATGACTCATTTTTAACGGAAAATAATCGTTTATTCTTACATTTTAATTCATTAGTGCTTCTTTTTCATTGATCACTAACCAAATATATAAGAACAGAAATCGCATAATACTGTTTAGTCACAGTTCAATTAAACAAACAATTAGATTTATTCCTAGGAGCTCGATACAACACTGGACTGAAAATGCCCAACTGGCGAAGTGAACTCTGCTTTTATACACTTCGGAATATTCGAGAAATACCCATATGCACTGTAGAATGATCTGGATTCATCTTATTTACATTAAAAACGTTCGATATTACAAAATTCAATCTTTGGATAAATCTGCCGGGGCTGGGTTCGAAAAATATTTAAAAAGCCAACTCGGCTATCACTTGAAAATTATGCGTGTGGCAAAATGTCGATGTTCAGGGTCTTTATTCCTGGAACGGATGGGTCCTTTGTGTGATTCTTTGGGAGGGAATATTCGGTTTCTCGATTTGCTCAGCGGGATCATTTTTCATACATTACATGAACAATGCTTCTCTTAGTTTTCTATCGCAAAGCAGGATCAAAATCTTGTCGTAAGTCATATAAAACGGCGTAGCACCTGATACGGTCCGAAATACCTTCTTACGGAGTTTTTCGGAGAGACCGACTTTTTCTCACTGGGTATAAACCCAACGAGATCTTCCGCTGAGCGTAAGATACCATTTGGTGTTTGGAACAACGTCGACGATCTTTGTCTTGAGCTCTCAGAACATGCACTCGGGCTAACTGGCGATGATTCTTCGGCTCTGGCTGCTATCTTGGTGATGTTATTGTCATCAGAAATCGTTAGGACAGAATGGTAGCATTGTATCTAGTGTCATTTCCGCTTCAGACCATAGAGAAAAAACGGCGTAAACGGAAACAAAATTCCAGTCTTCTTGTTTAGCCGTGTATTATAAGCGAACCCGGTTACAAATGAGTAGAATTTCATCCCAACGCTTTCACTCTACTATCGACATACATTGACAACATGTCGTGCCAGGTCTTATTGAAGCGCTCCGTCAGTCCATTTGTTTGGGGATGATACGCCGTTGTGAAACGATGATCAATTTACAAGTCGACGAGAGAAACAAGTCTGGATCGAAAGACGGCTCCACGATCTGTGATAATTACGGGAGCTCCAAGGACAATTTCTTCAAGTAACGCAGTCGACTTCGGCTGTCAACTTTTGTTGTTACATATCGTGTTGAGTAATCCGTGCAGACTATTATCCATTTGTTTCCATGAGCAGACTTTGGAAATCTCCCAAAGGAGATCAATTCACGGCGATGGAAAACGGCGTAGCTGGAGGGATGGGAACTAAACGTCCAGGAGTGGTCGTTGAGGAACGGATTTTCTCCTTTGGCACTCCCGACAATGCATGACATTTTCGGTAGACCAGTAAAATCTCTTGCGAATCCTGTCGCAAGTATAAACAAGGTGTCCTGCGGTGGGGCGTCATGAGATCTGCGGAGCGCCTTGCAAGAGATGTTTAGGAATGACTAGCAACCACAAAACTTTCCATCGGATCAAAATTCTTCCTGAAAGGATACCGTCGATAAATCTGAATTCTTCGCATTTTTGGATGAGTTGCTCAAAAGTTTTAATTTCATCAAAATCTTGATCTTTTTCTGTTCCATCGCATTGTTCATACTCGTCGTGACTGCTAAACGGCGTAAAACCCAGTTTGTTTAGTCTTACAAATGGTGTTTCCTTTTCCTCTTCCACTGGATTTCTCGAAGAGCGTCGGCGTCACTATGCGCTTCATTACCGGTTTTATATTTTACGTCAAAATCAATGTTACTTGAAGTCGACGAGAGGCCCAAGTCTGGATCGAAAGACGGCTTCCCTGAAGGATCCCTTTAAATTCATGAGCCAGCACAAGGAATGATCTTCAAGTAACAACAGTAAAGTGTTTTCCGGGCGCATGTACGGCCGAAATTTGTTGGTAGACCCATTTGTTTCAGGCAGACATTCCCCTTTCTGTATAGGTGGAATAATTCTTTTCGGCTTTTGTCAGAGTTCTAGAAGCGTATGCTATAACTTTCTCGACATTATTCTGAATTTGTACTAGGACAGCTCCGATACCGTACCCGCTTGCATGACTGGTGTATGGATTTCTGTAGAAGCTCTTTCGTCGTACATCCCCAATACCGGATCGTTCCAAGTAAGTGCTTTCTTAAGACTGTTAAATGCTTCCACCTCTTCAGGACCCCAATGAAACTCCACGCCACTTTTCAGCAACGACTGCAAGGGGCCCATCTGTTCGGCGAGATAACAGAAACCTTTAATAAATCTTCTAAAGTATGAACAAAGGCCAAGAAAACTTCGTATGTCATGTATATTCTTTGAGTGGGAAAATTTCTTACGGCTTTTATTTTGTCGGGATCGGGACGAACGCCATTACTAGATACAAGATGGCCCAGAATCTTTACTTCTTGGGCAGCAAAACGCCACTTTTCAGACACTTCTTTGAATTTAATTTAAGACCAGCTTCCTGAAGACATTTTAGAACAAGTCTTAATCGTATAAGATGGTCTTCAAAAGTTTTCTGAGAACACTATTATGTCATCTAGGTAACAAAGACACATAGTCCATTTAAAATGGCGTAGCAAATTGTCCATCATTCTCTCGAAGGTCGCAGGTGCATTACAGAGACCAAACGGCATGACTTTAAACTCGTATAAGCCTTCGGTACCCGGCGCCTCCACCAAACTTGTCACGGAGTTCGAAAGAAGTACACAGTTCAATTAAACAAACAATTAGATTTATTCTAACGCTGGGAGCTCGATACAACACTGGACTGAGAACATGCCCAACTGGCGATGAACTCTGCTTTTATACACTTTCGGAATATTCGAGAAATACCCAGTATGCACTCTAAAGAATGATCTGGATTCATCTAGAACCTAGAGAAACAATACATTAAAAACGGAAACAAAATTCCAGTCTTTGGATAAATCTGCCGGGGCTGGGATTCGAACCCGAGACCTGAGGAAGTTCAGTCCAACGCTCTGCCAACTCGGCTATCGGGACTTGTAGCAAATTATGCGTGTGGCAATACTAATGTGATACTAAGAAAGCTATAAGGATTAATTAAAGATTACTAGGAAAGATATATTAGATGTTATTTAAAAGATTTGTATCGTTTAAAGCCACAACAAGTTTATGTCAGAATAAATTTATCGTTTGGGATTTGCCAGATAGTATCTTGTAAGTTTTGCGTCTATTTTATTTTAATCATCATGGGGAAAAGCGTGAAAATAGTACTTTTTTTTATTAAAATGAAAATATTTACTTTAAAATTCGCATTTTTTAAAAAAAAAATATAGCGAAACTTTTTTTTTGTACTGTACATTCAGGTACTATCAATATAGTTAATTGTAAATTTTAGCGTTTTTTCGATTACATTAAAGATTCTGTATGAATTTTTAAATGAAATTAGGCTTAGCAGTGAAATTCGCCCGGTTCCATACGTGCGGGCCTGGAGAAACATTTCTTTCTCCTCCCGCCGGTCCTGAAGAGGTTTAAACGTTTCTAACAAAATTATTTCATCTGCATTATATCATATGAATTAATATTCAAGCTTTCTGATTCTATTTACATATGTGCAAGAATTAAATTAAAATAAACATAAATGAATTAAAATTAATCGTAATAAAAAAAGACAAAGATAATTAATCTTTTCATCTCAGAGAACTTTCTGGAAGTTTTCAGATGAAATGGAATCACGATCTCTTGGCGTCCTTTCTCTGTTATTATCTGTAAGAGGTATCGGAAACGAATCAAAACTTCAAAATTGCGCCTCCGGTCGAAGAACTAGTTGGATCAGATTGTTAAAGAGTTGAATCGATTTGCGAAGTTTTTCTTTTCTAGTTCTTCGAAAAGTGTTGCAATGAGATGACGTTTTCACCAGACCCGTTTTCTCTCGAGTTTTAGCTTCTACTTCTATAATTGTTTGAGGCAGAATGCTATTTTAAAGTTAAAGAAGAAGCAATTTAACTGTACACTTACACAGTGTATTTAATTATAGAATGACGAAATATTTTGAATTGCTTTCTCAGTTGTCTAGATCTTCAGTCAGCAAGTTTTGAAAAATTTTGAAAATTATCTGTGAATTTTCAGTGATTTTAATAAATTATTTTAAAATTGAAAATAAGTATTTATATAAACATAATGAGGTTATATTCCTTATGTTTGCGTCATGTATTATTTGTATCTTTTCCAGCTGCCCCGTTTTTATTTATTATTTTTTTCTTTAATTCCTACTTATTAGTTCACACTCTCCCTATATGCATTTATTAATATATATATATATATATCTATATATATCTTGTTCAAATTTTTACTCGTTAATAAAATACTTTTTATTCATCCGCTCATGTTCAAATGCATTCTTTAAAACTAATAGTGGATAACACTTGATGTTATTACAGCTTTTCAAATATATTAATACATTCATTAAATTTAAATAATGACAAATAGTAAAAGACAAAAATAATAGTCCAATACCATATATAAAAAGGAAAATCGCTCGTTGTGTTCCTTTAGGGCAATGGATAGCCCGTTGGACTTCTAATTTAAAGGTCATGGGTTCGAATCTTACATGGGATGGCTTAATTTCTGAGAATGTGACTTATGAATGAATAAATAGTAACAAAAATAATAGTCCGAATGTAGAAAGAAAATTCGCTTTCTATATTGTCACTTAATATTGTAATTCTGTCATATGTATATACATATTTTTATTAATTGAACTTATTTAATAAAAAGTAACTAAAATAAAAATTTTCTTCGTTGACCTAAGTAGGAATTGACTTATTGTTTTAAAATTGTGTTTGCTCACTTCTTAATTAGGTGTATAGTATCATGACTGCTTTAATTGTCCAATTTTTCCATTGATTTGTTTATTTCACATAATGTATGATACACATCATTTTCATACTTAGTATGATAGTACTCTGTCTACTCTTGTAAGTGTCGTATTCATGATAGATCAGTGTTCCTAGTCACAAACTCGTGGCTGCCACAACTGAGTCGCATGTTCGAGTCCTGGTGTCACTAGAGACCCTTGGTGTTGAGGGGCTGATGCAAGTTAAATCTTTTTTAGCTCAAAGATTTCTCGTGAGTTCAGTGGGTAAGGAGAGGGGTTGACAGCTAAGGTATCGCCAACGTTCCTTGGCCATGGTTCAAAATTATGAGCTCCGTTGCCACTAGGCCTCGTGTTTAATATGCGATATTCATAAAAACTCATTCATCCTTGAAAGTGTGGTGGTATTCCACTGGCAAACGGGAAAATTTCAGAACAAGATTTTAATTAACAAATAATATGAGATTTTTTAAAGTCAATTCCTACTTAGATAAACAAAGAAAATTTTTATTTTAGTTACTTTTTATTAAAGAGTTATAATTAATATTTGCTATAATCACAATATTAAGTGACAAAATAGAAAGCAATTTTCCTTACAATTTTTCATTTTCCTTTCTATGTACGGGGTCGGATTATTGTGTTTGTATATTACTATTGATTCATTAATTGAATTTAATTATTCTAAAAAAATAGTATAGCAAAAAACCATATCACTAATTAGACCATTCCAGGTGAGAATCGAACCCACAACCTTTGATTTCGATGTCCAACGTGCTATCCATTGCGCTACAGAGACAGAACGAATGATTTTCCTTTCTATATACGATGTTAGACTATCATTTTTGTTAGTATTTATTCAATTTTTAATTCAATTAATGAATATTTGAAAAAAACAGTGTTAACATCAAACGTCATCCTCTACAAGTTTAAAAAAATGTATTTGAACTTGAATCTGTGTGTGGATGAATAGAAAGCATTTTATTAACGATTGAACATCGAAAAAGATAGATAGATATATATCCCCATATATATATCCACATATGTATATGTATCCCCATATATATATATATATATATAGTGAGAGTGAACCATATAATAGAAGGAATTATGAAAGAGAAGCACTGATACATATTCTCTGATAAAAAAAAATCTACTCTTAATCACATTCAATTAATTTTTTTCCAGATATTTTCCACAAATGGAAAATGTTTTTTTTAATAAATAAATCTCATCTTTTTATACGATTTGCATACGATTACGGTTGCTGAAACATTTTAATTTAAATGTAACCGAATGATAGATCTTTCTAAGGAATTAATAGTTATTTTTTTAATTAATTACTTTCTGAGAATTCTCAAATTTACAACAAGTTGCATATTGAAATAACCAACGCCTAGGATATCTCAATTTTAGCGGGTAGTTCTCCTATGTTTTCATACATTAATTTACAAAATTAATTCTATTGTTACAATGATACTGCTAATAAATTCAAGATTATATGGAGGTGATTCTTTAGTTTTTACTCCCTCATATCAAGCAAAGAGACAAATGGGGTCATTTATACGATTGCCACCCCCTTTGTGGGATACATTGGATTAGTGTGATGCATGGAAAGCGTAGTTGTGTGTCTCGCAAAATTTCGTACTTCCGGCTACTTTGTATGGTTGTATCTTTAGAAGAAATAAACAGTAGATACGTAAATTGTTGGTGATTAGATGGGAAAAAATTTCTTTGAAAGAGGGTAGTTACTTTTTGTTGAAAACAAAAATGGGAGTTAAGTGTTTTCTAGATTGTGAATAAAATAAAATATGACATAGAGAAAACATAACGCAATCCTGTTCTACTTAAATTATAAAAAAAAAAGATTGCTCTATATTGGTGAAAGAGAGATTTTCAATGCTATCTCTAATACTGTGATCGAAATGTAACAATTTCATAATCTATCCCATTTAATAAAACAGGGTACCTACCGTATTTTACTATCGACCTATATAGCCTTACAAGGTATTTTAACAAGCTATACAGCGACAATGAATAACACAGGACTTCTGCCTACCTACATGCATGAATTAACAATAGACGATTGATGAAACATAGCTACTCTTCCTACGCAAGGACATTGAACTTACCTTCCTCTGATGTGGAACCTCACTCTCTGAGTTTCACAGGAGCTGGTTTGGAACTCAATGAAATTTATTTTCATGATCAGCTTTTGACTAGTGTGACTAAGAGCTCTGAGATTCCGGCCCTAGTTAACCAACTGGCTCTGGAGACTATCAATGGAATCCCACAATCTTCCTTGAAAATCTATACAGACGGAAGCAGGGGTGAGAAAGGCATTTCGGGAAGTGGAGTGTACATTCCTACTCTCTCTGGGGCCTTAGAATTTAAAATTAAAAACCTGAATTACTGTTCAGTTTTTAGATCAGAACTTATAGCCATCAGGAGGGACCTGCAGTGTGTGCTGCTCAGTTGGAGGATCGTTTCCAGGAAATATGGATTTTGACTGACAGTCGAGCCTCAATTCAGCATCTCGCTAATTGGGGTGACATTGGTGATCAGACTAGCCTGGACATACTGAGTCTTCTTCACGATCTTTCTTCAGGACATAGTATACATTTTCAGTGGATCCCTTCGCATGTTGGCATAGAGGGTAACGAAAGAGCTGACTTTTTGGCTAGGACTGCTGCTGTGGAGGGTGCGAGTCCAAGAGGGAATCTCACATTTTCTGAGATTTCCACAATTTCTAAATTGGAGCTCAACCGACAAATTAAAACTCCGACCAGTCATGCATGGTATTTTGCTAAATCTCCGGGCGAGTCCTTTAGACTCAGTAGTAGACCTCTCCAATTTACCTATTCTAGATTGTTGAGCGGACACACAAGAGCTCTCAGATTCTCTAATGGACAAAAGTCTTTTCCGGAATGCCACTGGTGTTCTTTCGGAGAGGCCTCATCTAATCATATTTTACTTTGTTTGGGTTTTAAAAAGGACGAGGTCATTTGCGACCCACTGCCGGTTTTAGATTTTTTACAGATAGACAGCCCTGCTAGGCAGTACCGATAGTAGTAAAAAAAAAACTATCGAGCAATTTCATGAAATTTGAAAACGCCGCCAAATACCGCGCTATGCAGCCAATGGTGGGAAACCATACCCACCGGTTTTCAAAATAATCTTTTTTTATATAAGTTGTACTGTTTTTGAGCATGTTCAAACACAATAAACTTGATGACACATGCTTGGAAATATTAAACGTTGTTTATAATCTGTAATATTTTTTTTTACTTTGTTGCGGAGAATAAGGAAAATTTGGGATCTTTTTTTTACAGAAGCGAACGGCCAAGGAGTATATTTAAAAATACGGTCTAATACGCAAGTATTCAAATGATTATGGGCCTTAGCAACATGGCGACACAGATTGTAAGAAACAATAGGAAAACATTTATATGAGTATGTAAGTGAATTTATAGCATCGTCTACATAAAGAAATTTTTTTTGTTGTAGTTTTGAAAGCAATTACGAATATTGGGTTGCCTGAAAAATGTGATTAGATCTTGTATTTATTTTATGTGTACATGCTTTTTTAAAAATAAAAATACTGCATTCAACTCTTCTAAATCTTCGCCAATTTATTTGTTGGCGAGCTAATATGGAAAGAGCATGGGATGTATTTGGTTTTCGCGCAATTGCCGAAACTATGCAGGATTTGGCAATGTCTTTTGACATAGTGATTTTGATTGACGATATAATACACAGGTGAAGACAATTAAAGAAAGGAACCTGTGCCGACCTGGTCAAGATCGCAAAAGGGCAACAACGCCGGTTCAAGAACGTTATTTTAGACTTCTAGCTAAAACAAATAGTTCGGCGAAAGCGACACAACTGTCTCGTAGCCCAGTGCTTCTCAAAGTTTCAATATTCGCTACCCAATATTCAATCATAATTTTCATCGCGCCCCCCTCATACAATAACAATGTATTGAATTCAATAATACTATATTTTGATGCTAAAACTACGATACGACTTTAACCTCTTAAGTTCCATCGGCGTCTATAAACGTCTCACTCAAGTGCGCTAATTGCACCCGACGTATATATACGTCTTTTCGAAGTAAGATCTTCTCTGTGCAATTTTAGCCATAAAATGATTCCGAAAGCTTTGGAATTAAATAAAAGGACCTTGGCAGTGTTTGCGTTAAATTTATTCATTTCAGAGGTTCTTTTTTATTGCTTTTATTTATTCCTTTTCTCCCCGTAACTTTTAATCGGCAGCTAAGGGATTTATTAAAAACCGTACAAATTATCAAGATAAGTGTTCATTTTTGTATGTAATTTTATATATGACTTTCCCGTAGGGTCACTGGTAATTATTATACTTGTTCTTAACTTAGTATTGGTAAATTAATCGTAAAATACATTGTGTAGCACTGATATATTTATAAGTGCAATACTCAATTGTAATGTGTATTTTATTGTACACATCAATTGTACATATCAATTGTAATGTGTCAATGTGTATTTTATTTTATGTCAGAGTGTATTTTGTTTATTTACATTTAGTAAACTAATATTTTTTTCAAAATAATCTTTTGTTTTTGACTTTTCAATTAGCTCGCGCCCCCTTGTAGAGTTGTCACGCCCCCAAGGGAGGCGTGCTCCACTGTTTGAGAAATGCTGTCTTAGCCTATATAAAGCAACAGGAAAATTCATTTCATGGATAACGCTCACTCAGACTTAATGCAGAT